GAGGCGGGGAGAATATCTCTTGCTGGAAATTCTCTTATCTTACCAAAGTATTACAATATCTGAGTGAAAATGCTTTGACATTCTTATTTTAGAGTCCTTACAGTTACTGTAATGTTTCTATCTGACAGTGTGCTTAATATTTCGGGAAAATGTGGACATTGACCCATAGGTACAAAGCCGGAATCCTACGGTAGATGCTCAGTTCATTGAAATAAAGAGTTAGACGTTCCAAGTCAAAGTAGCTTATGAATAAACGGGGACTGTGCTCATGAAACACTCGGCCTTAACGAAGTCTCCGTATGCAGGGAATACACTTGACCCAAAAGGCAGGAGTTTACCAGGCTCCTGCCCATTTCTATAGGAATGTCACTGATGGATTCCTAATTGCCAAAAATGGATTTTTTTGCTTTTAGTTTGTTTGGCCACTGGGCATCATTCAGACCTGTCGACCATGCCCTTTCCCCTGCGCCTACATGACTCCCCCATTCTTCCTACCTTCTGGGCCACACCAGTCACCATCGTTTCTCTCACCATTGAAGATGAACACTCCCAGGAATGTACTCAAGGCCCCTTTCCTTCTCACCCTCCCTGTTTCTCCCAGATCCCCACGTTTCTGGGTGTACCCGTATCTGATGCTGATGAATCCCGGCCTACCTCCCCTCCTCCCTGACCATCCTGAGTTCCGAGTCCGTGCGTCCAGCTTCCTACCAAATGTCTCCTCTCACATGTCTCCCTCCCACTCCCTCCGGCCCATTCTCAACCCAGCATCCAGCATAATCTCCCTAAAACACATCCGATGGTGTGAGCACAACCAAAGTAGCCCAGTCCGACCACTCCTTGTCAGTAGCAAGAGAAGGTCAGCAACGTTGGGAATTTGACATTTATAGGAAGAAAGTGACATCTCATTTAAAAAAAAAAAAAAAAAAACAACCTCGGGGGGCGCCTGGGTGGTTCAGTTGGTTGGGAATCCAACTTCAGCTCAGGGCATGATCTCATGGTTCATGGGTTCGAGCCCTGCGTCGGGCTCTGTGCTGACAGCTTGGAGCCTGGAGCCTGCTTCGGATTCTGTGTTTCCCTCTCTCTCTGTCCCTCTCTTCCTGTATGTGTTTCTCTCTCTCTCTCTCTCTCTCTCTCTCTCTCTCTCTCTCTCTCAAAATAAACAAACATTAAAGAAAATTTTTTAAGAGACCTCAGGTGCCTGGGTGGCTCAGTCAGTTGAGCATCTGACTTTTGATTTCACCTCAGGTCATGATCCCAGGGTCGTGGGATCAAGCCCCCACGTCGGGCTCCCACAGTGTGTTGAGCCTACTTGGCTGCCTGGGATTCTCTCTCTCTCTCTTCCTCTCCTTTGCACCTCTCTCTTTCTCTCAAAAAAAACCCAAAACAAAACACTAAGTCTTTTTAGGACTTTGCCATGAGATAGTCAAGGAGTCTGTGTGCCACATGAAATTTCACGGACATTTCTCATTACAAAGCGCTGGAAAGAATGTGCTGTGGGACATTTGCTCTCTAAAGCCACTTAACCAGGGTCACACAAACCACAGTGTGTCCCAGTTCATCGAAAGTGGAAGAACAAGTTCAAGCCCCCCTTCCCTCAAAACCTCTCTCTGTATTGTGTGTGATACCTGCCCAGCTCGTGTGCAAAGACGGATCAGGGATGCCCATGCCTGTGTGGACAACATAAGTAGAAATGAAATGTTTAATTGTTTCTTTTTCGTATCCCAGTGGTTTGCCCTGTTCCCCTCCATCCTGTAGATCCTATTTGTAAAATCTTGTGGGCAGGATTTTTATTTTCGGGTCCTCAGTGACCTCAATCAGTGTCTGCCCCAAGCAGCACTTGAGAGATGGCTAGTGAGTATTTTCGCTAAGGAATCTTGGACCTTCTTCATTCTCTTAAGCAATTGTAACTTCAGAAGCACATCTTTGCTGGAGAAAGGACCTATTGATTTTTTTTTTAATTTTTATTTTTTTGAACCTTGTTTTCTGAACTGTGTTGATCACTTGAAGAATATAGAAACAGGTTTTATGGGTCTCAGGTAATCACAATTCATCAAAACCTATCCACCTTTTTTTTTTTTTTAAGCATCCCAGCTTTCCATATATATACATACCTCATACCTCAGATTCCCACATGTGCCCTCTCAGAACACATCAATAGTGGAAGATAAATTCTGTCTTCTAGCCAACAGGGTGGGGCTGTAATTTCTATAGTTTGAATTTTAAAATACATTTTTTTTTTTTTGCTACATACAAAATCATGATGTCCCTTATAACCTTGCAGATCATATCTGTCCTCTGTCCTCCTCTCTCCATTTTCTGATGCTTGCCCCCCGCTCTTAAAAATCAATGACGTAGAGAAAAAGAATTTTCGTGATATCTCGACTCTACGTGACTCCCACATACTCCACGTTCAACGTCAGCATATCTGTGTCTTACTATTGTCTGAACATTTGGTCTTCCGCCTGGGGAGTGGGCCGTACTCTGTAAGCAGCTTCTACGTCAAACCTCAGCAGAGAAAGCAATATTTTGTTAAGAGGCGGAGTTGCAAGCCAGGCTTTGGCCAGGGTCTTTCCCATTTGGGAGGAGGAAAGTGGAGACAGCCAGCGAGACGATAATTCTCCTTGAATTCTTTAGCTCATTAAAATCTTCGCTGGTCCTCAGTGGGTTATGTATTGATTTAAGCATCTAGCAGTTTTCCTTTCCAGAAAGAATTAACATCTCCAATGCAATCATTACTAATGGCGGAGATTTTTGTCTTTTCTCTGTGGGAGTAACTGTCGTCCAGTTACTTATTAGCACAGCGCACTTTGGCGTTGTATTTAAATATGGAGTGGAGGGGTCGGCATGAGATTCGTGAGATTTATAGGTAATGAAAAGAACAGGTTGTATCAAAGATACCACGTGGAGGAAACTAAGTGTTCTTAGGGGACTCGTGATCCTTGGCTTTTTCCAAAACGAACGTTTCAGCCCGTATATATTAACTTCCTTTTTATAGAAGTTTTAACACGTTCTGTTTTTGCTGCTATTGTGCATGAAAATGTAGCAACATGGCGTTTCTTATCTGCTGGTCATTTCCAACAGGCATGAAGCATTTGAGTTTCTCTGGGGGCTTTACTGTGGTTGAGTATCTGCAGTGATAGAAGAACATGAAGAAATGCATTTTTTTTTTTATTCAAGTAAAATCCCCTTTCCATAAGAACGCTTTTTGCCCCTGAATATAACATCAGCCAAGAATCTAGCTGCTTTTCATTCAGATCTATCCACGGAGAACATGTGACATTAACACACTAGAGTTCGTTCCGTTTCACAGTGTTGTGTCCCCGCAGCATAAGAAAATGATGGCTGTTTTAGTAGGGACTTCTCTTCTTTTTAATGTGATTAATTTGGCCATTTTACTTGGACACGATTTCAGTGCAGGCTTCTTCCTGGACCTCAGTGAAGTTCGTACTGAAGAGCAGTGAGCCCTGTGTGACTGTTAACCCCCTTTCCCCGATTGGCACGATCAGATTGCTCCGATGTTCCCGGGATGTCACTTTTAAAGGTTGGCTTTATCGGCTCTTTGAAAAGACATGCCATTTAAGTTGTTACCGTGTCCCTCCTCTGTCAAGGGAGCTTGGCGCTGTTCTAGATCCTGGCTTTCTCCTTCACAAACCAAGGAGGACTGTCATGGGTTTTCCTCCCCTCGCTGCCATCTCTTGTCCCGAGATTTCTAAGAGACATTAGCCGAGGCAGCCTCTTGCCCAAACTGTGTTGCAGACTTTTAGGCTGAGCTGCTGGCTGGGTGGGTCCCCGAGCCCTTAGGCAATCAGCCTGTCCGTGCTGAGAATGGATGAGGGCGCATGGAAGCACGTTCATTTCCGGGGACTTTGGGTGGTGGGAGTGGCAACGGGGCAGTTTCTGTGTTTCATCTCGACCTCCTCTGGCTGATTCTAAAGAGTCTGCAGTCCTTTGCAGGGCACAGAAGCCTGTGGAAAGAGCAATGAAGGAAGGAAAGCGGCGTGGGAGAGCAGAGGGCTGCAGCGTCCTCTTTCTCCCCCATTGAGTGTCCAAGACTGGCTCCTCTGGGGGACACAGGACATACCAGAGAGGTGCTCACACCCTCAGAACCTCCATTTCCTTGTCTCTTAAATGGGTATAACACCAACCCACATCGCTGACACGTGTAGCCGTAGTTCTTTTCCCCCACCAGGGTCTCAGATTTGTGCCTGGCCTTGCGCCCTCCTTAGGAATCCAGTTTGCGATCGTCAGTTTAGTTGGGGACGGGGTCATTCTTTGGTTGAGGTCAGAGCCAGTCGCTTGCCTTGTTTCTAGGTGTCCCCTTCCTACCGGACAAGTCACCCCAGCACCGTGTTATCAAAGTCAGATGGGACGGATATGATGAATGTGTTTTGTAGTAATAGTCGAATTCCTTTCCTTTCTCTCAAAAAAAAAAGAGGAAAGAAAGAAAGAAAAGAGCAGTTTGACAGGAGACTAAGCAGAGCCTCAAGGAAAATGAGATTCTTTCCTGAGCTCTTGACAACCCTCCCGTAGATCCAGTAAAAGTTCCATATGGGTCTAATTTTGAGTGTGCAGTTGTACAGGCCAGCAGGCCCCCCGAACTGGCCAGATCTTCCAAGAGGCTTCCCTACGTGCCCCCCCCCCGTGCACCTTTCAGTCTCTGCTTCCATTGAATGGTTTTCTCGGCCCCATCATTTTTCTCGGTATTGCAGTCAGTGCTGAAAACGTGGACGATGACCTTGCGCACAGCGTTCACGCCGAACTGACTGCCCGGAAGAACTTCTACCCCCTTTGCTTTGTAGGATATGATGGTCACGCCCTGTGCCGATCTGTGCTGCGTTCGTACCTTAGTGAAGCGATTCTGTCCCTGTTAAGTGGCATGGCGCTGACCTCCGGATGCGTGTCAGTTCCCTATCGCGTTGAAGTCCATTGACACACATCGCCAGTCCTGTGTCTCTGCCACAAGTTAAAACCCGTGTGGTGTTTTTTCTGTTTCTCTCCAGCTTCACGAGGCTGATATCGCGGTCGTAGGCTCTCCCAAGCCAGAAGACATTCCCCTTTCGTGGATACAACCAGGAACTACAGTTCTCAACTGTTCCCATGACTTCCTATCAGGTGGGTCAATGTCCTAACCTTGGTGTTGGGCCGCGGATGAAGACAGGGAAGAGTGTGAGAGAAGTGTGTAACCTTCTTCAGACGTTACACACTTCAGACGCTTCTTCAACCCTTCAGACGTTCCCTGAAAGGTTGGTCACCGTCAACATCCGTACACAGAGAGGAAACTTCGACTGTTGATGTGCCTGCCTTTTGGGTCACGTGATACTGAAACTGTGTTGTCTGGCAAAGAGAAGCCGAGAGGCCAAGGGCAGTAGCTCTCCCCCGTGCCCCTGGAGAGACAAGCCCCTGCTGGCCTCTACATCTGAGCAGTCCAGGCAGTAGTGACCTGAAGTAGATCGTGTGTATGCGTGTGAAATAAACTAGAAATAGTGGTTTTTAGTCTTTGACAACGAAGTGGAATCCGTTCTCCCAAAGAAATCTTACATGAACTTCAACAGGTAAGAGCAGCTGAAAACAGTTGCTGGGAGGGATGAGAATGGAGTGCTTGTGTCTCCCTGATTTCCCCTTGCGGTGACCCCTCAGGCACTTCCTGGGAGCCCCAGAGGCACCTCAGAGCAGTGTGAAAGTCACCATCAGAAACTGGTGGTCCGGGGCACCCAGATGGCTCAGCAAATGACTTCGGCTCAGGTCATGATCTTGCGGTCCGTGCGTTCAAGCCCCACATCAGGCTCTGTGCTGACAGCTTGGGGCCCGAAGCCTGCTTTGGATCGTGTCTCCATTCATTTCTCTCTCTCTCCCTCTCTCTCTCTCTCTCTTTCTCCCAATCTCTCTCTCTCTCTCTCTCTCTCTCTATCCCTCTCTCCCTCTCTCTCTCTCTCGTTTTCAAAAATAAATAAAACAGGGGCGCCTGGGTGGCACAGTCGGTTAAGCGTCCGACTTCAGCCAGGTCACGATCTCGCGGTCCGTGAGTTCGAGCCCCGCGTCGGGCTCTGGGCTGATGGCTCAGAGCCTGGAGCCTGTTTCCGATTCTGTGTCTCCCTCTCTCTCTGCCCCTCCCCCGTTCATGCTCTGTCTCTCTCTGTCCCAAAAATAAAAATAAAAACGTTGAGAAAAAAAAAATTAAAAAATAAATAAATAAATAAATAAATAAATAAATAAATAAATAAAACATTAAAATAAAAAAGAAACAGAGGTGGTCTTAGGGTGTATTTCACCACAGGATCCAGGAATGCCTTGGACCACACCAGACCCACCTTCAGAGGATCTCAAGCTGTGCCCACACCAGGTCATCCAGTCGAAGGGCTGGTTACAAGCAAGCCCAGAGGGATACATTTTTCTCATTCACGGAAGGACCCTCTGAGGCTAAGAAAGTTTTGCACCATACCTCGTCCACTTTTTCAAGTCCCTGAGTAACATGTGTATGCAGATTTCAGCATTGGTGAGGTCTATGGTGAGCAGGCCTGGAGCACAGCGTTTTTCCCCCAAAGATGGTCAGAATTGGAGCCAAAGTGGGTGGAGGCCTCTACCCTCTTTCTGCCCGGACCACACGGGAGTTCTAGACCTTGAAACCTAGACCACCCCACAAGAGAACGACCCAGAGAATAGTATCAAATGATATATGTAATACACACACACACACCTTGTGGTCCAGCCACCTTGAGATACCATTTTACACTTTTCCACAAAAAATGCACTAACCTTAATTTGACTGCAATGTAATAGAAGGAAAACAACGTGATCCTCAAAGTGTTACTGAAATTCATATAACTGTTTCTTCAAAAAGAAAAATAATGGACCCACCCCTCTAGGAAGTGTCCCCCCCCCTCCCCCCCCCAGAATTAACCAGTCAGATTAAAAGCTCTTTGGGGCTGAAGGGGGATGGGGTGGGTTGGAGTGTGCAAGGGACGAAGCTCAGGAATTTCCCAGAATGCCCATGTGCTTGGCTCTTAGATGAAGAGCATGCAGATGAATGAAGCAATTAGAGGCATAATATAATGTGGATGTAGGATTAATCGATCTTTTTCGCAAACAGAAGGCTTGCACTAAGTAACTCCTTTGAAATACATGTAGTTTCAGGCCACAAATTTCTTTCCCCGCCTGAAAAAAAAACAATGCCTGACCTATAAATGATGGGCACAGCAGATTTGCTCCTCTGCTCAGAATTTAGATTAGGAAAGTCAGTTTGGACTTGCTGTTCTGTTATTTATTTATTTATTTAAAGTTTATTTATTTTGAGAGAGAGAGAAAGCATGAGTGGGGAAAGGGCAGAGAGGGAGGAAAAGAGCGAGAATCCCAAGCAGGTTCTTACTGTCAGCACAGAGCCCAATGCGGGGCTTGAACCCCCAAACTGGGAGATCATGACCTGAGCTGGAGGTGGACGCTCAACCAACTGAGCCTCCCAGGTGCCCCTGACTTGATGTTCTTTCAAATGAATGCTTGGCTGTTACAATTCCTTGCTGTTTTTTGGAGTTTTTTTAGTTAGAGTTTACATGTTTAGGACAATTTTGGTATAATCTTGGCTGGAGGTAGAGTCTACTTCAATGTTCTTGGAATCCCTTTGAGCTCTATGATTATATGAAGGTGACTATATACATGTATATGTATATACATATATGCATATACACATATATATATATATATATATATTTTTTTTTTTTTTTAGTGAAATTGTGCCGTATTTTTTAATATGTTTCTTTTGGGGACCTTTACTTTTTTAAAGGCATTCATAAAAACATTAGGTTTCAACATAACCATCCTCCTTGGGGGAAAAAAAAAGACCAGGGCATTATATTTTGACTGAATGGTTCTGTATGCAGACTGACTGCAGTTTATTTTAAATGTATCTGGTCCAGGGGCGCCTGGGTGGCACAGTCGGTTAAGCGTCCGACTTCAGCCAGGTCACGATCTCGCGGTCCGTGAGTTCGAGCCCCGCGTCAGGCTCTGGGCTGATGGCTCAGAGCCTGGAGCCTGTTTCCGATTCTGTGTCTCCCTCTCTCTCTGCCCCTCCCCCATTCATGCTCTGTCTCTCTCTGTCCCCAAAATAAATAAACGTTGAAAAAAAAAATTTTTTTTAAATGTATCTGGTCCAGTACAAGTCGTTTTCTTCCTGATTTTTGAGTCAAGTATATGCTCAGTAAATGAGCGTTGAATGAATGAATAAACCTGGTCCCAGAATTGTACTCTGATTGCAGTTTTCAGTTAGTTGCAGACACAGAGACATCTCCTTGAACTAGCCTCCCATTCAAAAACAGGGCTGGCAGGGCAAAGACAAAGAGGAAAAATGTTCTCCTGATTAAATAGATGAACATTTTACAGTCAGTACTATTTATAATAGCATTCTATTTCCTGGTAGTCCATTTTAATTTTAGCAACTTTGATTAGTCTGAAAATTTAATCTATGCATAGATTGAAGAAAGGCTCTTCTCTCTTTTTTGCATAACCCTGTCACCTTAAAGAGACTTTTGAAAGCAGTGTTAAAAGGAAAGGTGCTTTTATTCACCTTTAAGAGCAAAAGAATTCTTAATAAACTGGCGATTGGGTGAAGGCAGGGTTTTATGATGAAATTTTCATCCTCGTCTTAATGGTACAGGGTTCTCCCCCCTCCACCCCTCCATAAAAATAGATGGGATATGGTGATTTATAATGAGGTAATTCTGTAGAGGCATTGTATTGAGTACCTAATCCCAGGAGAAATTTTCGTGATGGCTGACATCCCAGACCCAGTGCTTGGAAAACAGTTACACCCAACTTGTTCGATCTGTTCACTCTTCTGTGGCGTGAGTCTAATTTTTAGATTTACAAGAGGTACGTGTTTATATCCAGTTTTCTAGCTGTAAGAATCGTTTGTTATTATTAAATTTCAAATCAAAGAAGCTGTGATGCTGTAATGCTCTGCTTCCTAAAGAGCAGAATTCATCCTAAGCAAGACCGTTTCGTACCCTGATATTAAGATTATTCCCTGATGTGCCAAATGGGACAAAAGAGAAGCTGGTCTTCTGTCTCGTGCCCGGAGAACAGAATCGAAACAGCAATGTGGGTCAGAGTACTTGACAGCATCATTCCATCTGTCTGTCTATCCGTTCATCCATCCATCCATCCGTTTATTTTGAGGGAGAGAGGGTGCAAGTTGAGCCAGGGGCCAAGAGAGGGAGGGAGAGAAGCAGGGCTTACCCAAAGCAGGGCTCGTGTTCACCCGAGGCGGGGCTCCGACTCACAAACTTGTGAGACGAAGACCTGAGCCACCCAGGCGCCCTTGCCAGCATCATTTTAAGTGAACGTAAGTGTATTTGGTGTGGAGTGGTGGTGGAACCCCGGGCTGCATCTCGAGTTCATGCTAATGACCTGGGGGATCCTGGAGGACCTCGAGCCACCTCTCTTATGGCCTCAAAGGGACACAGTGTAATTAACGTAAGGAGAAAAGCATGGGATCTGGGTCAGATTGATCTCACTCAAAGAGAGGAAGCGTTTTTTAAAATTTTTGTTTTGATTTTCTCTTAATTGCCTCATATTTACAAGCTGTGTGACTTTGGGCAAATAACTGAAGCTCTCTGATCTTCAGTTTCCTTGTGAGTAAGATGGGAGCAAGGCTGTTGAGAGGAATAAATGAGCTCTCACCTCACAGCACCTCTTTCTTGGGAGCTGCCAATAAGTGGCCCCCCTCCCACCTCCCTCCACTTCATTGTCCTCATACCTGTAGCACACAAAGTAGCTTTCAGACTTCTTATTTGCAAAATGTAAGCCTGTATTTGAAAATCAAGCCCAAGGAAGGATTCTTCCCAGTGCGATTCTGAGAATGCAAGGCAGTAGCTTTAGAGAAATGAGACATACTTGTAATTTAATCATTATCTCATTGCAAGTAAAGATATTTGCTTATGAATTTTGAACTCCAATTATTCTAAAATCCGTGATAATCTATTACCGGTTTCCCTTAAATTTTTTCCCGGGAAATTCTGGAAGATTTGGACCTATATGTTTTTGCTAGGGTTTCATTTCAAATTTTAACTGCTTCTCAGTATGACACATTTAACGTTCTTACTTCTGAAAAAGTCTCAAGCTGATTAGAATATACAGCTCTCTGTTAATTCCTTCCTGCTTTGGTTTCAGTGATATCAAAAGGGTTGTTTCTATCAGTTGATATGCATATCATTTTTTTTTTAATTTTTTTTTAACGTTTATTTTTGAGACAGGGGGAGACAGCATGAACAGGGGAGGGTCAGAGAGAAAGGGAGACACAGAATCTGAAACAGGCTCCAGGCTCTGAGCTGTCAGCAAAGAGCCTGACGCGGGGCTCTAACTCATGGACCACGAGATCATGACCTGAGCGGAAGTCGGATGCTTATCCGACTGAGCCACCCAGGCACCCCTTGATATGCATATCTTAATAATACTCCATTTTTTTTGAAGATTCATATATTCTGTTAAAATAGTAAAACATTGTTATTTGGTAGTGAATTCAGATGCTTTTTGTTTTGGGCTTTTTTTTTGAGAGAGAGAGAGACAGAGAGTATGCACACGAGAGCAGGAAGGGACAGAGGGAAAAGAGAGGATCTTAAGCAGTCTCCAAGCTCAGCACAGAGCTTGATACGGGGTACAATCTCACGGTGAGATCATGACCTGAGCTGAAATCGAGATTTGGACACTTCACTGGCCGAGCCACCCAGGCGCCCCTGGAATTCAGATGTTGTAAACTGTGAGTTCATCTCTTGAGAACATTGATACAAAAATTATATTAAGAGCTCATTTATCGCATTTTACTGTTCTCCAATATGATTAATATATTGAACTTAAAACTATCACCAGAGATTTTGAAAGTGTTATCTGCACTAATATGTAATTTTCTTTAGCTTTTCTTATTTCCAAAACTTCACATGACGTTTTTTTGAGTTACTCGTTTTCCCAGAGGATGAGAAAATATTTGAGATTTCAGTCTATGGGTTCATATAGCGCTTTTGCGATAAGAAGGGTGCCGTGGGCCAGACTGCAGAAAAACTGAAAAGTTTCCATATAGCAGAGAGGGCACGGAGACCAAGGAAGAATTTGCCTTGTCCCTCCCATTTCATTTATTCTGGCAGAATTCCCAGGGTGGTCTCAGGGCAGCTCCTGTCACGGAAAGTTCTGTTCTGATTTCCAGGGAAAGCATCATGACACATTAGCCTTAAATTTTCATGTTGTAGAAAGTTTGGTTAGCAAGAAAAAATTATAAATGAAAGGCCATCTTTTAACGTGATTCATTGACCTGTCCTTGGAAGAACCGTGAGCTATGGGGAGTATTTAGTGGGAAGTGAAAAGACCCATTTGGTTTGGGACGGGACCCTTGGGACCCCCGCTGGATTCGCGGGCTGAGTGCAGACAGCCTTGGCAGGCGGAGTGTAGACAGCCTCTGGGTGGAGCCCTGCGTCTACACAGGCAGAGGGATGAGGTAATGATTTCTTTTCTCAGTTCTCCTTAGCCACAAAATGTGTTGATAATGTGTTCCTGATTCACTGAGTTACCATATTCATTGCTTCGAATTCTCTGGATTCAGAACGTTTAAGTTTTAAGATTACATTGATTCGAAGTATAGAAGCAATACAGTGTTCGTGATAGACAGTTTGTGAAATACAGAAGAGTGCACAGAAGAAAGTGACACTAACTTCTGATCCGGTCACCTTGAGGTCACCATTTTACATTTTCCCACCAAGGGAACATGAAACATAATTTTACAGGGTGGAATTTAGTAGAAGGAAAAGAAAACAGTATACTAAAAGCATTATTGAATTTTAGGTAACTTTGTTCAGACAGAAAACTATCGGTTCCTGTAAATCCTCCCAATGTTTAAAATATATGTGTAGGCACGTCTTGTGTTGTGCTTTAAAATCTTTTTTGATTTTAGCCACCTTCTATTTTATGCAAGGCAGCGCCTAAGATTATGGGCAGAATTATTCACTGTGTAACACCGTCGGTGAAATATTCCTCACTTGTGTGGGTATTTGTGATTCTGTTCTGGGAATTTGCATTAATAAATTGATATCAGCTCCTGGAGTGTAGGTTGGTTTGTTTTTTTTTTTTCTTTTTTCCTTGTCATTTAAAGATAGAGATAAAAATGCGGGAAATATCTTTCTTTTCCATAACGGTTGGACACGATCTTTAGATCAGATCTCTAGTGGTTCAAACAGAACAACAAATCTCATTCTCTAGACTCTTGGCTTTTGCCTAAATACAATTTATAAAACTGTGAAGTGTTACTGAACTCTAAACAATACCGGAGGGAGAGGATTTTCCAACACCCTTAATACATTTGACTGTAGATCATCACAAAACGCTTAGTCTTAAGTGTTTTGTGCTCTTGCAAAGTACTGTCAGCAAAATGGATAATTGAAAAGTAGAGTGGTCCAAAATAGAGGAAAATCAGTTCTTAATTCAACCAAGTTGCTATTAGAAATGTTTCTTTTCTCTAAGGGAGGATATAGACTGAAGTATTTTACATATGTGCTTAACTTCTCATAACCTTTATAAGCGCCAGCTAAGGAAGGGAAAGCAGAATTGGTACGAATACCCCTCTCTTCTGGAAACCAGGTGACCCCTAAAATTAATATCCGAAAATACATTTTCTCAGTTTCTGTGGAAAATATTTCGCTTTCACGACAGGGATTCCTAAAGTTCTCAAAGGAAGCCTGATCTTTCACACAGCACTTTGGTTGCGATTATGCTATTTATTTCAGTCGCCCTTTTTATACCTTGTATACCTGAAGGAAATTGCTTTTCTTATCTGCCCGGCACTTTGACATGCCCTTTCACATTCGATTCTGAGTTCTGTGGGGTTGCAGCTACCCACATTAATTACCAGGCCCAGCGTCACAGTTGCTGGCTGGAGGTAGAAGCAAGATTTTTGTCCAGTCTAACCCTGTGTGGCCCAGTCAAGGGCCCCCAGGCTGCGCCAGGGACTGGTGACCTACCTGGAGCTATGCCAAGACATCCTAATAAGTTCCTTGGTTGAATATGAGAATAGCGCTCAACGTGCCGGCTTTTTACTAGAAGCAATTGGTTGTAAACGACAATATCCTGAATGTCTTTTTTTTTCTCCTCAAAATTTTTTATAGGGAGGCTTGGATGTGGTTCTCTTGGGGTTCATTTTAATGGTCTCATTGCAGAGGATGATGTGAGTCTCCTTGCTGCGGCTCTGCGGATTCAGGTTTGTTTGGCACGGCTGTGGGTTTGGAGTTTTGATTAGCAGTTGTTAACGTCCTGCAAGTGTTTTCTGTTGAGCAGACACAGCGTTAAACACCTTGCACACATAATGACATTTAATTCTTACCATAATCCTGTGAGAGAGTGTCATTCCCGTTTGATGGATGAGGGAATGGAAGCTTGGAACAACTTGCCCCTGGTTACGTGACACGTGTGGGACGGAGACTCAACTCAGGGTCTGTTGTTAGTGATCTATTGCTGTGGAATACATTATCCCCCAAATTTAGCAGCTTGAAACGAGAAACATTTATTAACTCCCAGTGTTTGTGGGTCAGATTTGGGAGCGGCTGGGCCTCGTGGTTCTCGCTCAGGGTCTCCTGTGCCGTGGAAATCGGGAGGTCATCCGAAGGCTTGACCGGGGCCGGAGGCTCTGCTTCCAAGATGGCTCACTCGCGTGGCTGTTGGCGTGTCGTATCTAATTTCTCACTGGTTCTTGGCAAGATGCCTCAGTCCCTCACCAGGCAGACTTCTCAGGAGAGCAGCTCATGAGGTGGCAGCTAACATCCACCAGGATGGGTGAGCCACAGGGGAAGGCAAGGAGGAAGCCGCAGGAGGTGTTATGACCTCGCCATCAGAGTCAAGCACCACTTTTCCCTTTTTCCCTTTTTCTTTCCTTTTTCTAGAAGGCTCCTAGCTAGCTCAGTTGGTAGAGCATGTGACTCGTGATCTTCAGGTCCTGAGTTCAAGCCCAACTCGGGGCTTGAACTCACGAAAAATAAATTTAAAAAACTAAAAATAGAGCTCACTAAAATATAAACTAACCTCCCTTTAAAAAAGAAAAAAGAAAAATATTTTTTAAAGTTTATTTTGAGAGAGAGAGTAGGGGAGGGGCAGAGAGAGAGAGAGAATCCCAGGCAGGCTTTGCACTCTCAGTGCGGGGCTCGAACCCACAAACCCTGAGACCATGACCTGAGCTGAAGCTGGATGCTTAACCGACTGAGCCACCCAGGGTCCCTCCAAAAATAAAACTTTACCTTCAAATGGGGTACAATACTGTCTTATAAGGATTATGTGTTGGTTTTCGACCTAAGCTAGATTTTATTTCTCTGTCTCTCTGTGTGTATCACCATTTAACAATTCAGCATTCTTGTTCGATTATGTCAACTCTGAAAGGATTATACTTGACATGGTGTTGCAGATTTTGGAAGCTGGGCATCCAAGCTGATCAGCCATGCATTCTCCTATTTCCCTCATTTTTCTTTTCTAACTGAGGTGGAGAACCCACTCTCTAATGTATTCAAGTACTTGATGTCTTTAGTGAATACTTAACCTATTTTCTTTTTTTTTTTTAATTTTTTAATGTTTCATTTATTTTTGAGAAAGAGAAAGCATGAGTGGGGGAGGGGCAGAGAGAGAAGGAGATACAGAATCGGAAGCAGGCTCCAGGCTCCCAGCTGTCAGCACAGAGCCCGATGCGGGGCTCGAACTCACAAGCTATGACATCATGACCTGAGCCGAAGTCGGATGCTTAACCGACTGAGCCGCCCAGGCACCCCTTAACCTATTTTAAAAGTACATGTAGCTCACCTTTTCCTTTTTTGAAAAAACCTGCAACCCTAACTACGTGTGAATAAACTTGTTCCTGATATTCACGTGGGTTATTGTGCAACTTTGTGGTCCTTACGACATGACACCCCTGAACAGTAGTTTCATAGTTTAGAGTCGTAGCCTGGCAGCCTTTACTTTTATAACATGCTTTCCTTTCTATCCCATGAAGAACATGGTCAGCAGTGGAAGGAGATGGCTACGGGAACAGCAGCACGCAAGGTGGAGACTTCACTGCCTGAAACTCCAGCCTCTCTCCCCCGTCCCGAGGTATTCGTGGGATTTCATTGTACCGATCTCTGGTCACCAAAGTGCCTCAGATAGCCAAAGTTCTCCACCGGGCTGGGGGCTCGAGGTGTTGTTATGGCTTTGACAGTGGATAATTTTCTCTAATTACAGTGCTGCCCTGTTTTTTCTGTTGCTTAAGTCCTAAAAATTAAATAATAATAATGAACATGTTTGCCGTATTCTGTCAACTCTAGGATGTACATTTCTTCATGTCTGAAGTCAGGATGCCCCTTACTGTGGATAATGTGTCCTGTCTTAAATGGCATTCTTTTTTCTTCTTAGTGGTCTGTAACGTACTGGTGCCTTAGATTTGACCAGATACGGTAGCACAATATTTGGAATATGCTTTTCAGTGTCAGGAATGCCCAGCTCATCTGTCAGCTTGGTCTTCAAGGCCACGTAGGTATCTGCTCTGAGGGTAAATGACCGACCAAACGAAACACTATTCTATGTGGGAAGTGAGTTCAGCTTTCCTCAGCACACAGCGATATCTACCAGCTGATAGGGTATTGTGTGATACTCCAGATGGATGTTTCCTTCCGTGTAGCATTTAATGAAGCGTAAGCTATATATTCCCTGCATAAATTTAGAAATACATACTGTACCGCAGGAATAATTCATTAGATAGCAGAGCCAGGGAGGTGCATCTTCCAGCCTCATCGCGGGTCCCCCGCTGCTCCCGCCGCGGTGAACAGGCCCCACCCTCTTCATCCAGGGTGTGCACGGGGCCACTGGAAAACAACACGTCAGTAGATAGAACCTTCGGGAGTCGGCTCCGTTTTCATTTGATGACCACTTGGTTTGTAGATTTGATCTGTGTCCTTGGACCACAGCTGAACGCTGATGATTCTTTTATACGCATCGGGCTGTGTTTTCACCCCTGAAATAGACTGAACATCCCAGTCGCTTTCTATGTTTGTCGGTCCATAAATTCCAGGGAACGTTACTCTCTGTAATGCCACCCCTGTAGTGGTGCAATCTATTTCATGAAATATTTTATTTTTTGAAGTTACTTGTGTTGTTAAAGGACCCTGATTTTTAAAAGGAAGTGAATACATTCTAGTTGCAGAGAGCTAAACACAATTCAGGTAGACTGCCAAAATGTGTGCCAGAGTCTTGGCATAAATCGAAATAAATTCCACTCAGGGGAAGAAGTGTTTTAATCGCTGAACCAAATCTGGCTTCTAAAGGTCCCTTCTAAAGGGGAAAGAAAGGCAGGCTGAGTAATTTATATATTACCCTCAAATCAGAACGATGTCACTGTCGTTCTTCAGCTAGCGAGGAGAAAACTGGAGGTTTTCCAAGAGCGGGCTCTTCAGTTTCGGAGATTTGGGGAGGAGAGAAAAAGAAAAAAAAGGGGTAGACAGGAAGGCAAAAAGAAGTGGGGGCGGGGGGAGGCTGGAAAGGGAAATGCAGGGGCAGGGGCACTTGTCTGGAAGCACAGAGCTCAGCCTGTATGTGGGCGGAGGCCCCCTGTCCCTCTCCGAGCTGCCGTAGTGCACTTCAGAGAGGTCTAGATCGGACGTGGGTTTACTGTTTACCTCTTGCACCGACGTCAGTCTTCCATGGGGTCGTGGAGGGGAATATAGACTAACGTGAGGGCTTAGAGTCCATCGTTAGCGGGAGCAAGGGAAAGAAAAGTCAGAGCAGGGGGCTGCCTGCCAGGGGACACTGCTGTGCCTCCAGAAGAAGAGCTCCAGGGTGAGTGAGGGCGCTGCTGTCTTCTAAGTGTCAACCCTTATGACCCACTTAGTCTCAGGCATGGTCTCCCAAGCCTGTCTTTTGCCAGCCATGTCTGACTCTCAAACAGATGGTCAGTCTGGCAGACAGATGGCCCGAACCCCCATTAAAACAAATCGCTGAGCTCGGGAGCCCCAAAAGACTCTCTGAGAAGTCCAGCACGTGCTCATCTTCTAGCATTCCAGTAAGGTGAACAGCCGTGCTCTCATCCTGCTGGTAGAATAGGGTAAATTATTTGCCCAGTGACACAGGGAGGTCCTAAAATGTCCTGTGTCTGAAGTTGAGTGTCAAGCACCAGGTCCTTTTACTGATGGTTATGCAATTAATAAAATACTTTGAGATACAATTTTGGACTTGCAGTAGGAAAAAGAGAGAAAGAGAGAGTATGGACCCAGATAAAACAAAATAGCATTTCCACGTTTTTGAATAGCCAAGAGACACGTGGGGCGAGCCCAGCAAGAGCATTATGCAATAACCCGTCTCTTCACGGGTGATGAACGCAATGATGGTCCACAGAAAGCACTTCACTGTACAAAGGATTCGTGCGTAAAGGAAGCCTTTGGACTCACTGTAATTCACACTTCTTTATTCCCATAGTACAGGGGTTATCTTTGTACCTGGGCAGAATTCTAGGATCTTCGTGAGTTTTGAAAAGTTGCTTCTCCAAGGAAATGTACATTTTCTCACGCACGTTAGCTATTAGCAGTTGTGTTTAATGCCGCTTGGGAGAGAGGACCACAAGGCAATCGCTTTGATTGAATCCTTGGCGTGGCGTTTGGCCTCCAGTGGTGACCACCTAACCTGAGGAGACTCTCGCCTTTTCTGTGTTTTCCCCCCCCAGTGATCTTGAGATTTCAAGAGCACAGACTCCAAAAGCCGTGGATGTCCTTGCCAAGGAGATAGGATTGCTTGCAGATGAAATTGAAGTCTATGGCAGAAGCAAAGCCAAAGTACGTTTGTCCCTGCTGGAAAGGTTAAAGGATCAAGCAGATGGAAAATACGTTTTAGTAGCTGGGTAAGGCTACTTTTAAAATCTATTTTACCAAGACGGCATGTTTCTAAAACTCTCTTCCCTATTTGTATCTGTCATCACACCCCCTCAAATCCGTCCTCTTCTCAAACTTGACATCTTTGTCCATTTCACTTGGCATTCCTTCATTTGACACGAGGTAAGTTTTCATTTTCAGTGCAAAACAATTCAGTCTGCTCCACAAAATAGAAAGTGTAATGCGTTTCTAATCCAGCCTTTTGTTTTTTGTTCCTCATATTGTGTTTTGATCATCCTTGGGTTTTTCATGTAGTTTTTCATGATAAAAGTCAAAGTAAGATTTAAAGGTAAAGTATCTTGAACTGCGTAGGGGTCTTTATGTTCTACTCAGAAATAACATTTTAATGGAAAATGTACAGATAATTGTGCAAGCTATTATTTTCTTGTTAATATCCTTACTATTTATGTATTTGTATTGTAAAAGTTCATTAGTTCTCTTTTCCTGCATTGCAAAATTAATATAGGGCCATTTTCATTTGTGTTGGTCATTTTATAAAAGACAAATGCATAGTTTTATGTAAAGGGGTGTTTATTTTCCCTCTTTTTGAAAAAAGAAATACACTCACTAGTTGAAAAATGATAGAAAACAAGGGATTTCAAATATTTTTTCAATGTGACCTGAGGGAACATCAAGAGACCATATAAATTCCTTTGTTGTCTTGAAATTTCATTGCAGTGACTTATTAATGATATATAGGCCAAGCCTTAAGGCACAAAAACCTGTTTATTAACAGGCAGAGACATTTCCGACAACTGGACTTCACTCTTGGTGAACTTCATATTCACATATTTTATTATTAACGTAAGCAGCTTATTCCTTTTTCTGGTTATTACAAGTCACGCATGCTCGTTAAACTTTTCCAAAATACCAAAAAGCATAAACAAGAAACTATCGCATCCCAAATCCCATCAGCCAGAGGAAAGGGCTGTTAACATGTGAGACCATCTTGGCCCACAGTCTCTCATAAACGACATCAGCTGACACGTGCTGTCCTGTAAGCAGCCTGATTCGTCAGCGACGTGTTGCGTGCCTAGCTCACTCCATGCAAGACGGTACAGAGCTATTACCATTTTGCATGAGTGCAGAACATTCCACGGGGGGGAGGGGCAGTAAAAATGCCTGGGATGAGGGTGGATTCCATTTCACGCATCTTCCCAACACTGTGTAGCCCGGGGTGGCTCGGTGGCTGACACTTGAGCATGGTTCTTATTCTTCAAGTAAATCGAGGCCAAAAAATGATTTGAAAATACCGTAGAGACGTTCCACAGTTTGTCTACGGCCATACTACCCTGAACGCGCCCGATCTTGTCTGATCTCGGAAACTAAGCAGGGTCGGGCCTGGTTAGTACTTGGATGGGAGACGTTCCACAATTTATTTAACCCGCTCTCTGTTGATGGGCACTTACATTGCCTCCCATTTTTGGCCATTGTGAACAGTGCTAAAAGGAACAGCCTTGGGCATGCATATTTGTGCATTTGTCTGGTGCTCTCCTTAGGAAAACTCCCTAGGGGCTTTAAACTGAGTATTTTAAAACTGCAAATTAAGAGGGGCACCTGGGCGGCTCAGTCGGTTAAGTGCCCGACTCTTGACTGGCTCAGGTCGTGATCTCACAGTTTGTGGGTTCAGGCCCCATATCAGGCTCTGCACTAACAGTGCAGATACTGCTTGCGATTCTCTCTCTCCCTGTCTCTCTCTCTGCCCCTTCCCTGCCCACTCGTGTGCGCACATGTGCGCTCTCTCTCTCTCTCAAATTAAAAAATTATAAACCTACAAGTAAAGATTAAACTACAGTCATCCGTAATGTCACCTCTTTAGTGGTCAAATCATTTCTTCATATTTCTTTCCCTCCCCCCTTCTCCCTCCTTCCTCTCCAGCTCCTTTGTAATCGCTTGTCTCCATCTAGGGCTGTCAGAGTCACTCAGTGGCTGCAGCATCTCATTTGCCTGTGGCTTAAACCTCCCACAGGCTTCCAGGCTCACTACCATCGGACTCCCAATCCTACCAGAGTCCTTCCCAACCTAGGACCCCACCTCTGATGTCTCTGTAACGGGGCTGCACGGGTGCTCCGTGCTGAGGGGAAAGGTTGGCCTCACCTACGCGCTCTGGGCCAGATCCATAAAAGGGGGACCTTTCAGCTGACTTGCGGGGGCTGTTTGGGAGTTCTTGGGTCCCAGGGTTTGGAGCACACATGGGGTCAGTGTTGCTCTTCTGGAATGTGCTAGATGCAAGTTGATTTACAGAAATAAGTAAACTCTTGGGCATTCAGAGCTTCAAAAGCAAATTTCGTATTTTATCCATAAATTTGCTTCCCTCTTTCTAGTCTCTAAGTGATCTTGGTAGGTGGGTTTGATACTTTTCTCTCCTTGCTTAAGGTGGCAGGATTTAAGGAAAAGTGAGGAGGATGGGCTCTCAGTTTATCAAGGAAGAATCAAGCAGTAATTTGTCATATGGAGTGGCTGTGATTTACTCTTTTGGGGGCTTGTCAATTCTAGAAATAAAAACACCAGTCTACACGTGGCTCCGCCCTTTGCTGGGAGCACAGAATTGAACTTCTAAAACAAAAGCCCTCATGGTATTGTTATCAGATTGCCTTCTTGAAGTCACAGGGTCTAGGCCCGCCTCCAGCCACGTGCTGGAGAGTGCCGGTTAGCGCCGCTCCCTAGGGTTAAAGCTGTGCATTGGTCCAGGCACGTAGAACATTGGTTCTTGCCCCGACGCTGTCTCTTTGCCAGCATTTGTATGTGCATCTGAGCTGAAGAGCCAGATTGAGCCAGGTTGTCATATTGTAGAAAGAAGTGAAATTAAACCTGAATTCTCAAGTACTATTTAACCGCAAGAGATAAACAGCTCTTTTCCTGAAACAGTGGCTCTATGTTCCTTACAAAACAACAATCTGTGAATCAACAAAAACTAAATTGTGTTCCTTTCAGCTCCACTGAGGGGGCGGAAATGCTGTGAGGATAGGATTTTGAGACATACCTGCATCTGTAAGGAAAGCCTGAAGGTTTTTGGAAAATCTATATACCACACTGTGTTCCCCCACCCACACCACAGATGGCATATTTTTTAAGTGTGTAAACTGCTTCTGTTATCGCACCTTTTAGTAGCTGGATCTTTGAGATCGGTTGTAAAATAGCAGACAATCATTTTACTTACAATGTAAAATGAAAAGTTCATTTGAAATACAATCGCCTCCATAGTTTTGCTTTTGGTCACGTCAGTTAATGGAAAGTGACGATTATCCAACATGCTGTTTATTGCTATATCTTTAGAAATATAAAGGACCCCTCCCAGGTACCTGGCTGGCTCAGTCAGTAGAGCCTGCAACTCTTGGCCTTGGGGTTGTGAATTTAAGCCCCCATGGGGATAGAAATTACTTAAAAATAAAATCTTACAAGAGGACCTCTCCAATAAATGAGTTATTTACTGTTTCTGAAGGATTTCTCTATTCTGGAAATAATACTGGCTTACAAGATAAAAATTTAACATCATGAAAAACAAAAAGGAGAAAACGAAGTCTCTCATTACTGAGAGGTGTTAAAATTTTTTGTATTTCCTTCCAGGATTTTCTCTCTGCATCCATTCTTTTTACACATTGAGATCATGCTATAAATACCATTTTGTGTCCCACTTTTATTTCTGAATACTGTAACATGAGTCTTTTCCCGTGCTTTAGAAGAATGCAGGTACCCAAGTCGTTTTTCAAGACACCTCGATAATACATTTGTTGTTGTACTTTCGAATTTATGTATAAATGTGATTTAAGCGTGTCAACGGTAGAATTAAAGTATAAAACAACAGGATTAAAAGAAAATCTTCTGTTAATAACCCAAATGCGGAACAGATTACTTCATTTTAAAAGCTGTTCTTCTAACTTGAGGATTTCTTACTCCGTCGGAATCATCTGTATTTCATCAGCTACACATCGCATGGTATTTACACCTACACATCACTTTATTTGCTTTGCCTGACAAAATGAAAAGTATTGGGAATCGTTCGGGGAAATACGCCAAAAGAATCTTAGGGGCTCTTGAGTTTTACATATTTTCCCAGTTACACTAATGAAAAGGAATTTGTTTGAGAACTTGCCTTGGAGTGCAGCTGTAGGGCATTGAATGTGTGTGCAAGATATGTCTCCATTGGCCCTGTCCCGATTTCTGCGCAGAAGTTTTGAGAACTTCTCTAAATTGCTCAGGCAGAAAGAGCAGTTAAAAAAGAAGCCCAAATTGGTCTGTGGACAGACCGAGTTTCACATTAAAGAACAATTAAAGTCATTCACATCACTTTATTTCTTTCCTGTAGAGTGCCGAGTATCTGATCTGTTGTTTCTGTTTTTGTTTTTTTTTTTTCTTTTTAATGTTCCAAGCCATTATTTTGGTCAGTGTTAAATAACCTTTCCTGGCTTTTCTAAGATTTTGGTTTTCTACCTTGGGTCACTATTTAAACATCTGTGAGTTTTTCTGCTATTTGCACAACTTGCAGAATAAAACAAAGGTATTTACAAGAGATCGCTACCGACTGGGCCTTTTTGAACAGCTCACTCCCGTCAGTCAGGTGTGATAGGAAACACAACCCAGTGGACTACAGAGTTTGTTGCCAGGAATAAAAAGCCTGTAACGACTTCCCAGTCACGAAGATGCCCGGGATGAGTGATATATATTCATATGCTGCTTGAGCATGTAGTTTTGGAGTTCAAGGTTAGACCCATGGCTCATGACGTGATTCCGTTCAAGATGCCAGAGTTTGAGAACTGCACACTGTTTTGCCACTCCTCTCTGCATAAGCAATCTCTTTGACCTTGGAGCAAATGGTAAACTTCTCATAGGATGTGTGCACACATCCGAAGTCACGGAGTGCTTTGATAAATCGTTAACTGTAGTTGACAGTAAACATATTTGTCTTAGAAAAGATGTGCATGCTGGGGCGCCTGGGTGGCTCAGTCGGTTGAGCGGCTGCCTTCGGCTCAGGTCACGATCTCGCGGTCTGTGAGTTCGAGCCCCGTGTCAGGCTCTGGGCTGATGGCTCAGAGCCTGGAGCCTGCTTCCGATTCTGTGTCTCCCTCTCTCTCTGCCCCTCCCCTGCTTGCTCTCTGTCTCTGTCTCTCTCTCAAAAATAATAAACATTAAAAAAAAATTTTTTTTTTTAAAGAAAAGATGTCCTTGCTTTGTCAAGCGTTTTTTGCTCGACTGTGCCTGGACAGGTGACAGAAACGCAATGAGAATGGGTATAGTCCTTCGCCTCAGCAAGCTTGTGGGTTGGTAGGCAGGACAGCCGTGTCAGGAAGCTTGTAATAAGACCCTCAGAAAAGTGATGCGATACATACATAATAAATGCTGTGGGAAACAGAGGGGGGCGGATAGAGCTACAGGGAGATGTTGAAGAAGAGCATGAGCGAAAGGCATTGTTCCCTCTCCATAAACTCTAAGCTCTTCCGGAGAACAGCAATTAGGTTAAGTTGGCCTTCACTGTCTTCTGAGTCAACTGGATAGTCTGGAGTCAGAGCTAAGGACACTGGGAGAGCCGTTAAACCCAAGTGCGAGATCCAACGTAGGAATGAGGTGGAATAAAATGTTTATTGTGGCTCTCCTTTTATTGCTCCCAATAAATACTTCCTGCTTTTTGATTTTCCTGAATTGTATCAGTTGGCAGAATGCTAAGCCGTCCTGTGTTTCTAATTAAGACTTGGATGGTCGGCCGAAGTTTGGAGGAGGTCATCTCTGGGCGTGTCTGCGTCGGGCTGTCTCCGACAGCTATATTAGCACATCCCTGGGGACGAAAATGTGATGCTTCACGTGACGCACCGAAGTAGACCACCTATTCCTTCGCAAACAGTGGACGACGAGGACCGTACTTAATCCACCCTGTGTTTGATAACTTTTTTTTACAGGCCGTCCGAAGACCGTGATGCCTGTGGCTTTCCAACCACTCTTTTTCTTGTACTCATCAACAGGAAGTTGACTCAAAGTGGAAACACTTTCACGTAGCTGGGCCTTCATGTTGACCAGGTGTCGTGCGGCTTGAGGAGTGGAGGGAGGCGTACGTCACCAAGCATGTGTGGGGCGGTGCACCCTGCCAGCGACCCTGTTGCTTCGCGCGGTGATGGCTTCTCAGCCCTCACCCAGAGTCGGGCGTCCCCGTGGCCTGTGATTCCGTGGGCACTTCCCCGGTTCCCTTCGGAGACGCCCCTGTCGCAGCCCTGCCTCATCCTCAAGATCCTTTTGTTTCCTTTTGCTTTCTTCTGACCATCCCTTCAGAGAACACGTTCTAGAAGATTCCATCCTATCCCTCTTTATACTGTGTTCCCTCTCACTGTGATCTTCCCCACTCCCATGCTTTCAGTTGCTAATTAGTGGTGAACAACAGTTACAGTTTCTGTCTGTAGAAATGACTTGGCGAAGTCAGGTGACGGGTTTTGATTTCCGGCTTTACTGCTTGCTGTTTGGCCTTGGGCAAGTTACTGAACCTCTTCGTGACTCAGTTTCCTTATCGAGGACAAAAATTAACCTAATAAATGTAAAAGCACAGAACCTCACATATTTAAATATTTTTTTAATGTTTATTTATTTTTGAGAGAGAGCATGAGTACGCGTGCGGGGATGGGGCAGAGGGAGGGAGACACAGAATCTGAAGCAGGCTCCAGGCTGTGAGCTGTCAGCACAGAGCCCGACGTGGGGCTCGAACTCACGAACTGTGAGGTCATGACTTGAGCCGAAGTCAGACACTCAACCGACTGCCTCAGCCAGGCGCCCTTCACAGAACCTCATATGTTAACGACCCCAAGCCCACCCTCCATCTTTATCTGGCTAACGTTTATTCATTCGCCGGGTCTTAGCTTAGGTGTCACTTCTTATATGAAGACTTCCCCGATGCTCCAAACGTAATCAGATCCTCCTGCCTTGTGCTCTCATAACACAGTCTGATTGCCCTGTTTCTCTCATATGTGTTTATCACTTTAATTGTAATTGCCGGTCAGTCTGTCCATATCTTCCATCGGTTGTAAGCCCTGGGAGAGCAGTGATGGAGTCCAACTTGGTCAATCATTGTGTCCCCAAGATCTAGTGGTCTGGCACATAGTAGTACTTAATAAACATTTGCTGAAAGAATGATTGATTGTATCACTGTGGCGGTCTGAGGCAGTTGGGGACGATGATATATCTAAGGGCTTTTTTTCTATTTCTTTGTGGTCACATCACTAGGTTTTATAGGTCAGAAAACTCTTATTGTCGGTTTTGTTGTGGTTGAGAGTCCTGGACGACCCTGACTGCACCATCTAACTCATCGGAGACCATGTTGCAAGCCAACATGACAGTTTTTAAATCTTGTAACAGTGGTCAGAGTGTGCTAAGGAACAGTTTTATGGGTCCTTACTTGGGAATGTAACGCACGCCTGTCTTCTTAGTTAACGCCATGATGGTCGTAACTAATGTGTGATGTTTGCTTTTATAGAGTGTGGTGGTCAACGAGGTCCTCCAGAGCACTTGGGGTCTCCTTTGTGTTCTGGGGAGTGTTGGACTCATTCTTTCCCAATGCTTGAGGGGCTGTTGTAGGAGAAGGGATTAAGCTCAGTGTGTCTGACTCCAAGAGATAGGAGCTATAGGAACGCAGATATCTCTCCTTTAGGACAAAAAACTCTCTAACCGTAAAAAGCTATCCGGAAGTGAATGGGCTACCCTAGAGGTAATGAGGCTCCCTCACAACACATGTTGTGTTGCAACATGGTGGGGACAAGACCTGGGCCCTGAGATCTGGAAGAAGATGGATGAGAGGGTACGATGGGATGCCTTCCAATGCTCAGAGTCTGGCCATGGACCATCGAGTAGGCCTTGTGCCCGCACTGTGCCCCCAGTAAATGGCCCTAGACAAATGAATGCCACATCACCCATTAAGAAGAAACAACATCAGCTTAATTATTTAAACCATTTGATGGATGACTCTATGCCATTTCTTGAAGCTGCTAATGTTATCATTGCTGAATAACTTTTCTTTTTTGGTCTCTTGGTAAAGGTGTGTCTGTTTCTTGGCTTTAGCTTAAACATGGCCTGTGTGATGTGGGTAGACCGTAAAAGTCCCTGGAAATTGAATTTTTAAGTGAATTTGGGAATGGCATGTTCTCTACCTGTCTGCTCTGATTTGGTTCTAGTACCTTACGTTGATTTTGCATAGGTCTAGGAAATATTATTAAATTTTCTCTCTCTCTCTCTCTCTTTTTCCAAACCAGGATCACACCCACCCCTCTCGGGGAAGGGAAAAGTACGGTTACAGTTGGGCTTGTACAGGCTTTGACTGCACACCTCAACATCAACTCCTTTGCGTGTCTCAGACAGCCTTCTCAAGGACCAACTTTTGGCGTGAAAGGTACTTGATTTAACAACCGGTATATTTTGCAGAGCAAAATTGGGGGCAGAGCAAAGTTTTGAAAGAACATTAGCAACAGGTGTGGTGTTAAAACTTGTCAGAGGGACCGGTACGTCTCATCCCGACGTTTCATCCCGACGCACACCCCACCTGCACGCTCAGTATGCGGTGGTCCTCCCGAGGCGGTCCTCCTGCAGAGGGGGCTGCGGCGGGGGTTTCGGCAGAGCCCTGCAAGAAGCCCATCGCCCTGGCTCCGTGGAGCAGCTGCTGGGCCCTTGCTCAGGACTCCAGCCTCGGGCGGAAGCCTTGCACCTGATCGATACCTTCTTACTCGTATTGCTGTTGTATCGTGCACCCCTGCCACAGAGAAAGGTCTTTCCAGCCAGTTAGACACCCTTTCAGTTGGACCCTCGTTGCCTCATCTCGCGAGAGTTGCTGGGGGGCCTGCAGAGCTCTGGAAACTGACCAGCTGTGGACAGAGCTGTGGTGCAATTTCTGTCTGGCTGTGCTGGGCTGACATCTGGAGCCTTCACACTCACACTGATTTATCATGAGGTCATCCTTCAGCTCGCGTTACAATAGCATTTATTGCCGCAATTACTCTTCGTTCTTGGCACTTTGTGGATTTTAGCGGCATTCTGTTTATCTCACTGTCACAGATGTTAATAACTCCGAACTCATTAAGTACTGATAACTCAGAGAACGTCATACATTCTGTGGCGGAACGAGCACTAAACTTGTAGCAAGAAGGCTGCGGTTTTCTTCGTGACTGTGTCTCTTGCTGCTGTGTGACCTTCAGCCGGTCGTAACCTCTCTGGGCCACATCTGTGAAAGTCCTAAAAGTTCTAGAGTACCAGGTTTACGGAATTGTCGTGAGGACCAAATGACATAGCAGATAAAGAACAGGGTACACCATAAGATGATCTGGACACGGAAGGTATCACTGTTGTTTTAAGAAAGAGAAGTCTTTTTAATGTAGTGACGTTACTCCCTTGAGGGGTAGTCAGCCTGACAAATTTTATATACTGTTCTCTAAAATCTCTTGGCCGCATCTTACAATGCATTGGTCTGAGTTCACCAGGTGGATTTTTTTGAGCGGTTTTTTTGATATTCAAAGCATGTGCAGGTGAAATGACACAGAGCCACATAGGTCTAGTAACAGATGAATAAAATAATCTCATGTTGGCTGTAATGAGATTTGCTGTATTGTTTTTACCTTTTTTTTTTTTTTAACCAGGAAACTCAAGTCCTTACATTGTATTGTTGGGTGAAGTGGGAACTCTTTCCCCTTTTGTTCTGCTTTGATGGACAGTTGATGTTTTCTTTACTACCTGCTGTTTCATCTTGGGGGTGCGTGCCTTCCTGCCGGGTTTGGGGAGCTGTGTCCCCGGGGCTCTGTTCATCCTGTGTAGCTATACTTGCTGAATGATTTCAAACGGCGTCTGTTCTGTTGTTCAGGAGGGGCCGCGGGCGGCGGATATGCCCAGGTCATCCCCATGGAGGAGGTAAGATCTCAGCGAAACACATGTCACGTGTCCCTGTTTCTCCTTCCTGCAGCCTTTTTTCTGTGCCCCATCAACACAGGCCCACAGTCCTTTATCCTCAGTCCAAAGGCCTAAAGATTCTGAAAACCAAAAACGTTTGCATCACTTACAGTGGCAAAACCTGACGTTGAGTGTTATGGGCTATTTATGTCTATGCCACTTGATGTAAATATTCACATGTTTTGCTGCAAGAAATACTGGTTTTGATTAATGGATACGGACTTAGACCCTGCTTTGGATGTTTTAGTAAAACATAATAGGTATATCACACTCTTTCTCCATTTCCAAAAATTCTGAATCCCAAACCCACGTGGCTCCATTCTGCATAAGAGGGTGGAGACCTATCCCCATCGATCATCAGTTACCGTGCCCAATTCAGGAGGACTTGGACTCCTCACTTGGGCAGAGGGAGACTCGAAAATCAAATGGTTCCAAAGAAAAATGGGCACAGAAGGTCAAAGGTGACCATTCTTATTTCTCCAAGAAACCCTACCCCCGCATAACCACCCCCTCGTCCCCTGAATCTGACCGTGACTGGGTCTCATCACTTCTACTCTCTGCATTGGCCTCTTAGTTCTGGTCCTGAGAAATCTCCTAAAACCCAAGTCTGAGCCAATTGCTTTCCTGTTCAGTGTATTTCAGTTCTTACTCCATCACGCCTGTGCGGTGTGGCACGGCAGGTCCCCGTGTGCTGGTCCTGCCGTCCCTTCCAGCCTTGCTGTCTCACGTCCCCACAGGCTGGCCTCCCTCTCACCCACCCCACCAGACTCCCTGCAGACTCTTGATCCCAAGCCTCGAGCGTTCTTCCTTTCCTGTTCTGCCCTCCCTGCCCAGCCTGTCCATCTCTAGGTTCCATCTCCCCCCTCACATCCCTTCATGCTATTTCCCTCATCCGGTTCGGTTGGCTTGTGCTGATTTAGAGGGCACGGACCCCAGCGCCCAGCACAGTGCGCGGCACTCACTAGGGGCTCGCTGGGAAATGTTCGTTGATTTCGATGAATGAATTCGGAAGGGTGTTTGCCTATGGAAGCCTGAGGGTCAGGAAAGCTAAAGGGAAAATATGGACACTCTTCAAGTACTGGGGGTGGGCTGAGAGAGAATAGTGTAAGGCATTGCTGGAAAAAATAGCCCCAAGCCTCACATCTGAAGGGGGATGAGTAACATTCACAAGGAAGAACCAGAGCCAAGAGGCCAGGTTGGGGACAGCGTACAAGGAACATGCCCAGGGGAATGGCTCAGAAATTCCTGTGCAAATACTCAAAGGGCATCGGTGTCCTGCTGTCATATGGCATCAGCTGCATGGCTCAGACTTGGGGCAAACTTAAGGCATATGATGGTTTCAGCTGCCTTATGATCGTTCAATAGGCCAAAAACAATCAGGCAGTTTGTTCCTTGAATTCGAAGACCTTCCGTATCTCCTTCATCTCTCTATCCCCAGCTCTGAGCACAATGCCCGACCCTCAGACCGTGTTTGTTGACTGAGTGCATGAATAGACAACTCGTACCGACAGAAACTTAAGAAATAATCATGGGAAAATGTTTGAATAAATTCCAGATGGGTTGAAGAATGGAAAGTGAAAATACTGAGTCTTGAAGGGCGAGAGGGAGCCAGGGTTGTGCAGAATGGGGGGAGAGTGGGACCTGCTTGGGGGACAGTACGGGGGCGGGGAGGGGTCTTCGGGGAACCGGAGGCCACCAGCGTGTTGTCAGGGGGCCAGTGGGGATAGAGGAAGTGAAATACGGAAATGGGCATGGGGCCAGCTCCTTCAGGCTTTGAATTTCATGGCCTAGATCTTGTTTGAATATCGCGGTCCGCCATTGAGGGGATGTTGACACAGTAATAACATGATGCAAATTGAGTTTTATGAAAATCGCTCTGGACTCTGTGCGGAGAATACACTGCTAGGAGTACAGAGTGGATGCTAAGAGTGCAGTAAGGAAGCCCGGGGGAAAGGCAGTGGCGTGGGCCAGGGAGGTGGCAGTGAGGATGGGAAAAACATGGCAATGATGTCAGACATGTTTGCTGAGTTTGCAGAATTAGATGTGGGGCGTGAGAAAAGGGGGGACATCAGGGAGAGTGAGCTGAGCAACTCTTGAGTCATTGATTGAAGTGGATCACGGGGGCAATAATGGCCGCGAGGCTGCAACTGTGGTGGTGAAGGGGGTGATGGTCTGTCTGGGGCCTGGGGACACCCCAGTGGATACCGAACAGGCATCAGGAAGGACAAACATGAGCCAACGGTAACATGGGGAAAGGATTCAATGCAAACATCAGAAAAGAGCTGTTAACGAATCGTTGATTGTTTATTTTCACTAATAATCAAATTAGTCTACATTAAAACTACTACCATTTTACTTGTCAAATTGACAGCTGGATTTTTTTTTTTTAAATAGTAACAATACTAAATTTTACCAGTGAGAGATTGAAACACGCTTTTATACATTATTGGGAGGCAGATGTTGGTAACACTTTCCTGGAGGGGAGGTAAAAATACGAAGTGCCTTAGAGGGCGCCTGGGTGGTTCAGTCCGAACAGCATCCGACTTCGGCTCAGGTTATGATCTCACAGCTTTTTTATTTAAGTTGTTTTACAGACTTAGCTCATTTTAAGGCTGTGTAATTCGTGCAATATTTTATTTGTTCGGAAAGTCCTTGAATACTGCCACGGTTGTTTGAGACAAGTAGAAAGATGTTTTCATTTCTTTTATAGTTCAACCTTCACTTGACCGGGGACATCCACGCCATCACTGCCGCCAATAACCTGCTGGCCGCCGCTATTGACACAAGGATTTTGCACGAAAACACTCAAACAGACAAGGTGAGGAAGTTTTCTCGTTGGCCTTTTTGGGCATCTTGTCCTGGGATTTCTGGATTCTTGAGGAGTTCACGGGAAAACTTTGTGGGGCCGATAAACTGAAATTGTATTAACAATTTTGTGAGTTCTATATATCCTTATTTCTTGGGGAGAGGATCCCTACTTGGGTCAGATTCTCAAATGAGTTTATGACCACTGCCAAGCCGTTGGGTGAATTATGTTAGTTGTAATTTTTTTTTTTTAATTTTTTTTTTTAACGTTTATTTATTTTTGAGACAGAGAGAGACAGAGCATGAACGGGGGAGGGTCAGAGAAAGAGGGAGACACAGAATCTGAAACAGGCTCCAAGCTCTGAGCAGTCAGCACAGAGCCTGACGCGGGGCTTGAACTCACGGACCACGAGATCATGACCTGAGCCCAAGTCGGACGCTTAACCGATTGAGCCACCCAGGCGCCCCATGTTAGTTGTAATTTTAAGGCAAATATTCTTTGGATGGGACTTCAGTTTTGAAGGTAATCGGTAGACCAGTTCTCTTCCTTCTGTCCAAAGGTCCAATCTCCAGTCTGTACTAAGGGGATTGGAAAGATAGCTTTTTGACTGTAATGTTACATGCAGCCATTCTAGATGTACTGTGAATGAGATTAGACCTCCTGGTTGGAGTTCAGGTGCATGCAGCTGAGGTAAACACACACCTGACAGTGATAGAGCACTAGGTGCTACTTCCCCATGGGCGTGGACCGTGGATAAACGTGGGACTTTCTGGCATGTTTACAAGGATCCTGACTTCCTCCCAATTAAAGTAACTCCCTTGTGCGTTTTTGAAGCCAAGTACAGATAAATATTAATTTGCTGGTTGTAAGGCGGTAGAGATCAAGAAATACATATTTATGCAACATTTTTGCAATGTGCATGATTTCAGATCTAGTCAGATTTATTGAAATGATAGAAGTTAAGGCTACGTTGTTTATATCGGCCAAGAATTTTAATAGGGTCTCTAATCTAAACAATTTGGTTATAAATGTAATGAGCTTTGTCATATCCTGTGAATTATCCAAGTTCCTAGCTGGCCCTTCAACTTTTGTGGGGCTTTATTTTTGTTTTGTGTTTTTAGGCGCTGTATAATCGACTCGTTCCTTTAGTGAATGGTGTTCGAGAGTTTTCAAGCATTCAACTTGCTCGGCTGAAAGTAAGTTTCCAGCTGGTGGCTCTTCAACAAGAAAATGTCCTAGAAGCAAATCAGAAAAATTGTCCACGCCAGCAATTTTGAACTTGATTTGGGTTTTCAGACACTCTTTGGGGCGTTCAACTCTAGAGACAGAGCAATATAACAGAGAGAGAATAGAAGGAGAAGCCTGAGACACGGCTACACCAGAGGGCAAGCGGACAGATTAGTTCCCCTTTGAAGGTCTCTGTTCCTTCGGCCGTAAACCGGGAGGACTGCTTTGTAGGTGTGGAGCACCGTAGTCAACTGACAGATCAAATTTCCAAGAGTCCTTCTCTTATATTCTTGGATTTCTAGGAAATAAGTTCTGGCTTCTGTAAATGTATCTCTATAAGTTTTTGTTGCAGCAAGATGCTACGGTCGTGCGAGTGGAAGTAATCTTAACTCTTATCCGTCTTATCATTTATTTCCTGGTGCTATTTGCTGCTGTCCTGGGAATCCCACGGATTCCCCCTTGCTCTTTTCAGAGACTAAAAGCTAACTTAATGGTGTAAGTTACAGGCATTGGTTGGTAATAATCGATTTTAAAAATTCACCCCCTTGGGGTGCCTGGGTGACTCCGTCGGTTAAGCATCCGACTTCGGCTCAGGTCATGATCTCGCAGTGAGTTCAAGCCCCACGTCGGGCTCTGTGCTGACAGCTCCCTTCAGATCACGACCTGAGCTGAAATCTAGAGTTGGACACTTAATTGACTGAGCCACCCAGGTGCCCCTACATTTTGCCTTCTATTCCTTCCAAAACTGATCACGTTGTTTTTCGTCTTCATCATTAGAAACTGGGAATAAATAAGACCGATCCAAGTACGCTGACGGAGGAGGAAATAAGTAAATTCGCCCGTCTCAACATCGAGCCCTCCACCATCACGTGGCAGCGAGGTTCGTGCCTGTTGTGGGGTCGGGGATGAGGTCTGCTCCAGCTGAAGCTCGTAACCCACTTCCACGAGCACATGGTTTCATTTCCTCCCCTTGTCCTCCCAACTCACGTTCTGGGATCCCTCTGTTTGTCCCAAGCCCTGTTATTTCCCCATCCTCACCCTCGCCTTCTGCTCAGGAGGAAACGCCATGCTCCTTCGTGACTGGCTCTACCCCATCCGCTCCCCCTAACACGTGTCCAAGGAAAATTTCCTCGTTTTTCTCCTCCGTGGTAGTACCGGGTGGTGATCCCCAAGGTGTCTCCGAAGGGTGAGCTGGTCCGTATTCCCGGTCCTTCTGTGTGTTCTTCTCAGACCTGCCCACTCACTTTCCTCATTTCTTCCCACTTCCAGAACATTTTTATCAGATGCCTGATTGATTGCAAGCGCCTTTTAATAAACGTTCTTGCGTCAACGTCTTTCTCCCAGTTCAGTAGGCTCATAGTGTAGAGATGTTCTGTCCCTTCCTGACTCAGAAGCCCCCGTGGTGTGTGATAAAATCCTGTGTGGGGTACAGTCGCCATCACACCGCTTGGCCTGAAGCACTATCACAGTGTGGCCCCATACGCTTTTGCTCCCTGTCTGCTTTCGAGACAGCCTCTTCCTTCTGCCTGTCCTTGGCCGGCCCGCCCCACCCCATCTCCTTGCCTAGACCCTTCCGGACACAGCCCAGGTCCGCCCCTTCCCAAAGCTTCTCTTCTGGGAATCCATTCGCCCAGTTCATTAACAGTTTAGTGTTTTCCCACAAACCGTGAGGTAGAGAGAAAAAGACCAGAAACTGAGTCTTGGCTTCACCATTTATGAGCCGTGCAACCATTAGCAAATGACTTCCTCGGTTTTCTTCTCTGTAAAATGGAGTAACAATACCGGCGTCTGCCTTGCACGGCTCCACTGCAAAATGAGAGTGGTTTGCAAACCCTACAGCACCGCCCAAAAGTAATCCATAGGGAATAGTTGTATGATGTAGCTGTCTGTGTCTTTGTCTCCCAAACTAAAGGAGAGTAACATCGTTTCGGAAATTCAAAAAATGTTTTGTTAATAAAACCAATAACATTATCAAGATTTCGGAGATGTCTAGAAAGAAAGAAACATCTTACCGTACTAATAACAATACTATTCAGTTTTTTTGTGCATCTGGATTTTGTGTATAACTCTAACTTAGGTGTGTAGGTTTTAGATCCTACTGTCTTATTTATTTGAGTTTACTTATTTATTTTGAGAGAGAGAATGTGAATGCATGCGTGCGGTGGGGGTGGGGTAGAGGGGCGGAGAGAGAGGGAGAAAGAGAATCCCAAGTAGTGTCCATGCTGTCAGTATGGAGCCCCACTTGGGGCTCGATCTCATGAATCATGAGATCATGACCTGGGCCAAAACCGAGAGTCAGACATTTAACCACCTGAGCCACCCAGGTGCCCCCTCCCACCAGCTTCATTTATATCATAAGTAGCATGTTCCATTCAGTTAGCTCTTTGTTGTAATGGTAATTTTAAATGGACCTAGGATATTCCTTTGTAGATGAACCATAATTTATTATTTAACAGACCAACAGCAGTTTTAATAATGGATATGAATATTATCAACATTTTATTGGGAAGCCTGCTAACTTTTTTTTTTTTAATAATGGAAGTGACAACTTTAAAAAATCATTCCAGGGGTGCCTGGGTGGCTCAGTCGGTTGGGCGGCCGACTTTGGCTTGGGTCATGATCTTGCGGTCCGTGAGTTCTAGCCCCGCGTCGGGCTCTGTGCTGACAGCTCAGAGCCTGGAGCCTGCTTCATATTCTGTGTCTCCCTGTCTCTGACCCTCCCCTGTTCATGCTCTGTCTCTCCCTGTCTCAAAAATAAATAAACGTTAAAAAAAAAAAAAGTTAAAAAAAAATATCCTGTTGCTTTATAAAAAAAAAAAATCATTCCAGATAAATACTAGAATTATATTATTGTTCGTGGCACTAAAGTGAAGAAAATATTATTGATATAGATAAGCCACCTGGGTTGAAGGAGTTTAGAATGACATTTGCTGAGTAGTTTGACTCTTATTCTCATGAATTAATATAAAAAAAATGGAACTCTTTATCAAATGACTTGATATTTTATATAGCGTTTTGTTTTGTTTTGTTTTGTTTTTTTATAAGGCAATATAGGATTTGACCTAGAAACAGCACAACCCTGGTGATGAGCTTAGGTCCTCATATGATTTGAGAACTAGAGAGGGACACTGAGGGACCACATGGGGCTGAACACTCTTTGCAGACTATATGAACGTCACGAATTTCATGGCCAGCCCTTCCCTTTGCGCTCAGTGTAAGAAGTGTAAGTGGTAGGTCTTTGATCCTGTGCCTCACATCAGAGGCTTATAGGCCTCATTGCCTGGCAACAGGACCGGACCAGAGCCAACAGACTATTCCAGAAACAATTAACATCAACAGAAGAAGCAGTAAGCATCGAGCCACTTTGTGGTTCCTAGAGCAGCGGGAGCCCTTGCCTCTCTGATCATCGTCCCCCGCGCCAACCTCACCTGGGGCCTACAATCTTCCCTTCTCCCTGTCTCGTTGGTTCGTCCATCTCCTGGCCATTAGACCAAGGTCCTGCACGCCTCAGTTATCCTCAGCGAAGCAACATCAGCTTGTTGGTTCCCGACGCTGTCCCAACAGCCTCGCAGGGAATCATGACAGTTGTTCTGCCGAAGGCAAAATAGTGGCCCTGCGCCTTGTACCGCCCAGAACGGGAGCCAACTGTTGGTGGTGCTAGAATTATATTAGAAGTAAGTTAGGCACCCTCTGGATGTTCTTCAAGACCTACTACGGTAGTGCTAAAGGGACCCTTCGGACCCACACTCACTCGTACCCTCCTCTTCTCCCCTGTGCCCGTAAAAGCCCCCGGTCCCCCGATCAGAGATTGATGTCTTGTTCATCTTTGCATCCCGGGACAGCACCTGGCACAAAATTGGCCGAGTAAATATTCCTGGAGTGAATAAATGGGTTTCTCATTCCACCTTTAGTTCTATATTATTTAGAGGCCAGGAATCCTCAGGATTCCTTTCTGGTCTCTGTCTTGTGTGTCGGTTTTTAATCTTCACGTTTCTTAACGTGCTGCAGTGCGTGTGGGTGCGCAAATATGTGTTCAGGTCCCCGCTTCGGGTTCGGTTGCTTGTATCCCTAGGAGTGCAGTTGCTGGGTCACAGGGTGGGTCAACGCTTAACCCTTTCAGAGACTTCATTGGCCGCTTCTGGTGATGCCGGTTCCGGTGTAAAACGTGACCACCTCAGAAATGCTTTTCCTTTACTGGCTGGTCGAAAACTGGCACCCCACCCTCACCAACCAACCCCCTGACACACTCTATCACGTCATCTCTGTTTTCTTCTGAAGGCGCTTACCGCCGGCCAGTATTTTCTGGTTTACCCCATCCTTCCCTGTGTCTACCCACCGGGAGGACAAGCTGTCTCTTGCTCCCCGCTGCTCCCTTGGCACTCACAATGGCTCCAGACACACACACGGGGCAGCCAGTCCCTCCTTGTTGATTGAATATGCTTTTTTTTCTTTTTCAGTATTGGACACAAATGACCGATTTCTACGAAAAATGACGATTGGGCAGGCGCCCACAGAGAAGGGGTGTTCCCGGCAGGTACGTGGCGTTTCCCCGTGGGACCGGCTCTGTTCTTCCTAGGTTGGTTTACACTGACCCAGAAGCTGGTTCCCTGCTTTTCTCTTCTCGGTCCGCCGCCTGCTGTGGCCTGGGGGGTTCTCATCCTTTCAAGGCGTTGCTTCCTCAGCAGGACCCAAGAGAGAATCAGGAGATGGAAAGGCCCCCGGTATTTTCTTACCAGCCTTTTCCTGTGTCGTTGTAGTTGTTTGTCATCCCGGGAAGAGCCACTCAGGGTGTCCCTTGAAAATAAATTTTTACATATTTTGCGGCAAATCTGCCAAGTTAATGCTACATCCGCATAACAACTGACGAAAAGAAAATCCCAAACACATGACTCAAGGTTCGGAAACCAAAGGACAAACACCTCGTTATTTGGTTTCATAGCCTGATGTGTTTTTGAGGGCAGTGTCTTACTGCCCAAGTGCAGAAGGTGTTGAAGGTGAATTACGATGTTTATCTTCATTTTTTTAGATCTCCAGTGTGGAGAGGGATGCTTGGGGAACATGAAATCGTTCTGCAGTTTCTCAGGCCCAGCAAGCCTTTTTCGTCTTTTGTGTGGGGTTTTGTTTTTTTACGTATAATAAACTTTATATTTTAAGATGGTGTTAGATTTATGGCCTTTACATTGTCAGATTTTTATTAGGGAAAAAATAATCACTTTTACTACAGTATTCAGTTGTCATACTTAATAGTCTTTTGGACCTTTTGAAATATTTTGAATTAAATAGCTAATACGTGGATTGAATCAAAACCGGCTAAGCCCGTGCACCTTCCCCCCCTCCATCCCCCAGACTCTTCTGCATCCTGGAACTCACACACATGAACCGATTTCCAACATGCTGGAAAACCAGAACCAGTGCCATATAATTTCAGGAAGCTTCTGAAAGATAGGAAGACATTCATTCGTTCATGTTCATGTATGTATATACACACAAAGAACGGAAGCTAGCAAGATTACACCGACCTCTGACATGAATTACTTCTGTAAAGAGGGTTGGGAATGAGGGGCGCAGTAAGGAAGTCCTCTCACATTTCCTTTGTGTACTTCTGTACTGTAACCAGTACTGGAGAGATGGGAGGTTAACCATGGCTGTGATTTGAACACCTTGTATCTTTAGCTCATTACACACATTTACACATCTATCTGGTTTGCAAATGGGAAAAGCAGGCATATAATGTCCAGTGACTTGCTCAAGGTTATATCCCATTGCTTTATGCATACATATTTTTAAATCAAAAGGGATTACATTTAAGAGCTTTAACTGGGTTTTTTTAAGCCATAAGTTTCTATTGATATACTTTTATGTTAATAAAGGTAGATCTATATTATCATTTTGGAATGGCTGTGTGATATCGCACCTTGTGGACGTAGTGTAATCAGTTCAGCCAGTTCCCTGTTAATGGCCACGTAGGGTGTTTACATAGGGCCGCGTAGGGTGTCGGGCTGTCATAAGCTGTAGGAACATACACACATATTTGTGTGCCTTGTCTGATGACGCCCTTAGGACAGACTCCCAGATCTGCAATTGGAGAGTCAAAGAAGAAGGAGATTTCCCATGATGATACACATTTCTATCCACGTTACCTGCCGGAAAAGCCGTGTTGATTCAGATACTTCCAATATTGCATATTGTTCTTGGTTTGAATTTGTGAAAAACAATAAAAATCTCTTCATATAATTTTGAAATACTTTATTTGCAAAACGGAAATGAGCATAGGTACTACATTCAGCCGATACAATGAATAAGAATAGTATTTAAGTTGGGGTGTCTAGGTGGCTCAGGCAGTTAAGCGTCGCACTTTGGCCCAGGTCATGATCTCACAGTTGGTGAGTTTGAGACCTGCATCAGGCTCTGCCCAGCACAGAGACTGCTTGGGATTCTCTCTCTTCTCTCTCTCTCTCTCTCTCTCTCACCCTCCCCTGCTTGTGCTTCCACTCTCTCTCTCAAAATAAAGAAGCTTTGCCTTTTTTTTTTTTTTTTTTACCATTTATTTATTTATTTATTTTTGAGACAGAGACAGAGCATGAGCATAAACTTTCTTTTAAAAAAGTATTTATTTTTTATATTTACGTAAAATTTTTTTTAATGTTTCTCTATTTTTGAGAGAAAGGGAGACAGCGAGCTGGGAGGGGGAGAGAAAGAGGAAGACAGAATCTGAAGCGGGCTCCAGGCTCTGAGCTGTCAGCACAGAGCCCGACACGGGGCTGGAACCCACAAACCATGAGATCGTGACCTGAGCCAAAGTTGGTTGCTTCACTGACTGAGCCACCGACTCGTCTCAAAAAGAGAATATTTAAATTGACCCAATTCCAGTGGCTGAATTTTGAGGAAGGCATGTTCTTTGTTTCTCTTTTAGTTCATTTTTAATGTTCTTCAAGGCACAAAACCTTGAAATTATAATGATTACAAACGAAGAGCTTATATGTTATAAATTCTACTTATTATTACATAGTTAATATTATAAGAGTATCTCTAGTCTTATGTTTTATAAAGAAAGCCTCAGAATTTTCAGGCGTGTTTTATATGCACTGTTTATAATGGAATGGTGGTATAGAGAATCCTGAGTATGATACAGTGAAAAGTCACTGATTGGGTTGGGTTATATTGGATTATATATAGTTTGGATTGGGTTATATTGAAAATGTGATAATTGGGGCGCCTGGGTGGCTCAGTCGGTTGGGCGTCCGACTTCAGCTCGGGTCATGATCTCACGGTCCGTGAGTTCAAGCCCCGCGTCGGGCTCTGTGCTGACAGCTCAGAGCCTGGAGCCTGTTTCCGATTCTGTGTCTCCCTCTCTCTCTGACCCTCCCCCGTTCATGCTCTGTCTCTCTCTGTCTCAAAAATAGATAAACATTAAAAAAAAAAAGTGATAATTGAACATATTTGTGTTTGACTTTCAAGTACTATTTTTTCAATACCTCAGTGACTAGTGAAATCTCAACCTGGAAGTATCCAGAAAGCTCCTTATTTCCCTTCATTTCCTTTCTTGTCAGTGAAGGAAATGGACAATAACATGTTTCATAGGGTGACCCTGCCAGAGCACAGCCATTTTCTCCTTGTGTAAGCTTGAATTTGTCTGGCTCACGTGGCCCCTCAGGAAGAAGAGAATTCAGGTGGAGTCTAATGAAGTGATTTTTGTCCAGTAGGTTGGACTATAAAGAGGAGGAAGGCACGTTCCTTGTTTCTCTTTTAGTTCCTGTTGGCCTATGTCCAGCCTGGAGTGAGATCCAGAAGAGGGACTAGGAAAGCCCAGGAACATTTCACAGAAACTAGCTGCTGTCCAGCGTTTGTTGCTGGGTGCTTCAAGGTCTGATGTGGCCAAGCCCTTGTGAGCAGCTGAAAATTGATTGTGTCACCTTTTGACTTGGTGTCCACACTGCTGTGTGAAGCTCTAACTCTGGAAAACTGGCCTCAGAACCATCTTGCGCTGTCTGCCCCTCAGCTCTTTGCTGGACAAATGCCACCCCCTTGACACACCAATGAATGACAGTGGAGGCGGTCGGCAGGTATTTATTTAACAAATATGTATTGACTGCCCACTGGGTTTCACACCCAGTCCTCCATGCTGCAGACCCAGGAGTAAAGCCTCCCCAGGGTTCTTGCCTTCATGGCACTACTTCCTGAAGTGGGGAGATAGCCATCAGACAGACAGTCACGTTAATCATTGATTACAAATCTGAGACATGCTACAAAAGCAGACCACATGGTGCCATGGGCGGGAACAGCAGGGGCCTAGCCAGGCTGAGTCCTACTCAGCAGAACAAATCAAAGAACAGTTGTGGCCACAGTAGGGAGCCCACCCTAGGGAGCACCAAGCACAAGACTGTACATGTTTCTAGACACTCCAATTACTTGTGAATGGAAGATGGGCCCATTGAGGATAGACCCCCAGAAATATTGGCCCATTGAGGATAGACCCCCAGGAAGATGGGCCCATTGAGGATAGACCCCC